TTAAGATTATTATAGTAAATAAAATAAATATAATTATAACAATACAAAACATGCAAAATAAAATAAACATTTTGATAGTGACAAAAATTAACAAATATCATAATAATTGAAATAATAAATAAAAAATTAAAACTAATAAATATATATAAAACATTGAAAAAAGATATATATTCGGATCACTACCTGCATAGATAAAAAATAAACTCCATTTTAAATCTCGTCTTTTTGTAATGCCTCTTTTCCGTGCTTTGTCACTTTTCCAGACCGAAATTGGTCTGGAAAATGAGATTTATTTGCTGCAAATGTTCAGACCATTTTTGGTCTGTATATATACAAAATAAGCTGCATTTTAAATATCATTGATGTGAAAAACTATCTTACTATTTTCAGACCATAGTTGGTCTGGAAATATGAGGGAAATAACAACTTTGCTGCACTTATCCGGACCAAAATTGGTCTGAAACTTACAGTTATTATCTGTAATTTCCTAGACCATTTTTGGTTTGTAAATATCCAAAATGCAAAGTACCTGCAATATCACAAATAAATTCAGAAATTATATTGTCATTTTTCAGACCATTATTGGTCTAAAAATATGAAAAAAAAAATACTGTTGCTTCACCTGTGTTATTATTTTTTTTCTTTTTTGTTGACAATATTCAGACCATAATCGGTCTGAAAATATTTCGCGAGTTTTACTGTACTCCCGCCAAAAATTTTCAGACCCTTTAAGGTCTTAATATTGAAAATTGACCATAATTTCCATACCCATTATTATTCAGACCAACTGTGGTCCAAATAGATATTTTTTCAAATCAATGGTAATTGGTCTGAATTTCAACAATTTCTAGTAGTGTATAAGAACTTAAACTCTAACTTGAAGATCTCAAGCTCAAACCTTAAGTTTGGTAAAGAAGGAGATGGGAAAAGAGCTATCCAAGCTTCTATAAATATAATTGTTATAATCTTTTCTCATATTCATTTCTTTTCATATTTATTGGCTGCATACATCTAATTTATTGATTCTAATTGTAACCGAAGGTAAAGTACCTATCATTGATGATCTGCTGGTTGGTGATAAATGGAAAACTCTCCCAGAAAAGCCAGGTATGTTATTCATGCTAAAAGTTAAGTGGTGGCTGTAGTGTTGTGAAATTAATTAACTCAATAGTTGAATAAAATTTGTACTGTGGGTTCTCCTTCTGTTTTGGTTTAATGCTTCTACACGGTTCCTAGGAATAACACAATAACTTTTCCATTCAATGGAACAGATTTCTTAATCAGTTTGATTCTGTTATAAATTTCCTTGTACACGATTTTTGCTCTTAATTAACTAGGTTGGTCGCTAGCATATAATCTAAAGTATGACCGCGCCTATGCCCGTGAGATGGTACATGTCATATGTGAGCAACTGTCAACTTTAGAAAGAGACCAATTTATAAGAAGCGGAGCAGTGGAAGCTACCTTCAAGGCTATCAAGCTTGGCTACCTTCACTTTGTAAAACAAATTACAAAAGCTAATCCTGACATAGTTTGGAGCCTTGATCACGAACACTCAAGAGACATGTTAATGTATGCTGTAGCACATCGTCAAAGGGAAATTGCCAAGTTTCTTTATGGACTCAATGCGTGGAGGAAGATGACGGAGTTTACCACAGATGACGACCAAAACAATATATTACATCTGGCCGCAAAGTTACCTCCCAGCTCTCCCCACATTCATCATTTCTCTGATCCGGTTCTTCAAATGCAAAGCGAAACAAACTGGTTTAAGGTAATCCTCGAAAAAACTTTTATGATCACAATATAGTAATTAGTATTTATCAGATGAATTTCTTAAAAATTAAAAATAAAATCACCTTAAAATTATGTTATTTTAATAAAATATTATAAATAATTAAAAATAATCTCTTTCATGTTTTAAAAATAAGTTATTTTAGTGTTTTTTTTAATAAAAGGTTGTTAAATAGATATAATTTTTGAATAATTTTTTTTAATTTAATTTAATTTTTAGATATAAACACTTAATTAAATGTTTTCACACGGTTAACGATTCGAATATGATTGTCCTTTTTAATTCATGATCAATTTCACACTTAACAAATTAATTATTTCAGGCTATTAAAGGCATTGTTCCAACATTTTATAAAGAACAGAGAAATAAAGATGGCGAAACTCCAAAAGAAGTGTTTAGGAGAGAACACAAGGATTTACTTAAAGAAGCTCAAGTGTGGGTAAAAGAGACAGCCAATTTTGCCGCAATTATAGGCACTCTCATTGTTGGCATTATGTTTGCAGCAGGTATTACTGTTCCTGGTGGTAATAATGGTCAGGATGGCTTCCCCATCTTCTCTAAAAGAGCATATTTTGGGCGATTCATGAGTTTTGATCTAATATCTCTCTGTTTAGCATCTCTTTCAGTCGTGCTTTTTTTGGATATCCACAAATCGAGTCTTACCGAAGAAGATTTCCTAAGTGGATTCTTGACTCTCAAGTTGGCCATGAGCTTTTATTTCCTCTTCTATTCCATTGGAGCGATGCTAATCTGCTCTTTTGCTTCCATTAAACTTGTGGATCGCCAACCTATAGTAGGGTGTATTCTTATTTTTATCCTTACTGCCTGTCTATTTGTCTACATTATTCTCAAACAACTTCTACCTCTTTGTAAGATTTTATATATCCCTATTAGGTTTTTTGGAAAATAGGCATCTATGTGATTAAATATCATCACTTCTTCTAGTGTACTAAAACTTAAACTACGCGCATTGCGTGGACTCATGTGCTTCTTTTCCTTCTTCTTCTTCTTCCATTTTTTTTTTTCCTGGATTTGGATGTGCTCTGTGTTTATTGTAATACTATTAATTTTAAAGTTTTTTTTTTTAACTGTATTAATGTTAAAGTTTGTTTTGACATTGTATTTTACTTTAAATTCTCAACTGCGGTATATCAATAATAATTCAATATAACTTTTTTTTTTGGGTATAACTATTAATTGTTATGTTGGATTGATACATTTAACCTTTTTTTCATCAGCAAAAAAATATTTTTATTAAAAATGGTTGATATGTTTAACTCTTATTCACTTTAATTTTAATGTGTCACAAACATGCATGATGAACATATAAATTTGTTTTTTAACGTACTTTTCAAATAAATTTGATTTTTATTAATTAAGAAATAATAATTGTTATGTCTTATAACCATTGTGCGAAAGTTTTCTGATG